ATGTTCAGGTAGGCAATTTCCACTTGTGAATGGGAAGTACAGCTACTCGAGCTCTTACACTTTGAATGCACATAAGCTAATATATTTAAACCATTCTGAGCTGGACATTCTGTTGGTCTAAAGCAGTACAGCTGTTTTTTATCAATTATCATCTCCTAACATCATGATAAGGACCTTTATTTTGGGTTCTCCACAGTTTTCTGGAGGTGTGATATATTTTCATAGAACTTATCACTGCAACTTAAAATTCTCCTTTTAGAGGTAGTTTGTGCTCTTTATCAGCAATGGTGGAAAGGCAAAATACAGAATACAGAAGCCTCAGGGTGATTATAATATTTTGTAATGAGAAAACCTGACCTCATAGTGCTGAATGAGAATAGAAAAAATTTACAGAATGCAAAAAGAGAAAATTTACAGGAAAGTTGTATGTTAAATATGGAAATGTTCTTCTAGATTTGAGTACCATTGTAGGTACCATCTTATTGAAGTCATGTCGCAAGAACTAGTCAAATTGTTCTAAAAAGTTAATTTAAATTAACTCACACTGCTCTTTTGCCTTCTTCCTCTTCTCTGCCTATTTCTGTACATTATATTTGTCACAGTAGCCTGGATAGCTTGCTATATTTTTATAACTCCCCCCTCCCTCCCACCACTGAAATACTTTTCTGGCATCTGGTCTCTAATAATCTCTTAAAATGAGCTTCACCCAACCTTATAAATGCTCATGCCATCTTCCACAGGGATGGATGGCTTGTTGGAAAAGAAGGGGGCTGGGAGTTTGCTTTCCACTCAATTCAAAGAACAGACAATGGAGTGGTGATGACACAGCTAGTGGCTCTCATTCTCACCTCTGCACAGGCTCTCTCTCTTCTGTTTCCTGTGTGGGCAGGGACACATTAAAGAATAAAGTGACAAATATGCTGGACCAGGTCAGCATTCGTCCTGTGACCAACCTGCTCAGTGAAGTGCTGTCACTCCAAGGAAAAGGCCAAAAGCAAGTGCTACCTCTCAGTACAAAATCTATGCTCCTTTTCCAGACCTCAGATACTCCAAATAGTGTGAACCCTAGATAGATGTGAGGTCATTGATGGGAAACTTTGTAAATTTCTTCTGATATACATAAATTATTCTAAAATAGGAACCATTTTACAAAATTGAAGTGTGGAAAATATCCATCTTAAAACTCATATTAACCCCCCCGCAAACTGATAGGTAAGAGTTTAAAAAAGACCCCTCTGCATTCAGCCCCCAGGTACTGCAGAACTGAAAGAAGTTGGGCAGAATTCTTTATGGGAAACGACACTTCCTATTTTCCTCCCCAGAGATTCAAAACAGTAAGTCCTTTTTTCACAGGCAGATCCTGATGGCACGGATGACTCCTTAGTGTCAACCGGGGGTGCTGAGAACATTAGAACAATTGTATCGGGTCAGAGCAGACATCCGTCTAGCCCAGCATCCTGTCTGGTGGTGCCTCAGCGGATGCCTAGGAAAGTGTATGAGAACAGAAGCTTATAATGATGCTTCAAACATCTGGTGATTTGTAGCACAGAGATTTTTATCATTGAAAAAAGTGTCTTGGTAGAAAGTGAGTGAGTGTTGGTAGATTTTTTTTCCAGCTTTTTTTTCATACTTTGTTTTCTTTTGAATAAGCTTTCAGACTCCCCAACCTATTGTCAAGTATTTCCACAATCTGGTGGCACGATGTGTCATGAGCCATGTCCTTCTATGACTTTTAAATCCATCAACACTACATTTATTTGAAGGTCTCTAGGTCATTCACTACTTGAAGTTTCATATCAGTCATTTCCTTTCCAGGATAAAAGATCTTTTCCAGGATTTTTGGTTGTTCCTTGTATAGAAATTACTCCACATTTTTGATCACCTGTATAACCTTTTACCATTTCCACTTTATTATTTTGAGATGTGGAGCAGAATTGATTTCACAGAATCACAGAATCGCAGAATAAAGTGAGTTGGAAGAGATCCACAAGGATCATCGAGTCTAACTCCTGACCCTGCACAGCACCATTCCCAAGAGTCATACCATGTGCCCAAGCATATTTCTCAAACAATTATTGAGCTCTGTCAGGCTGGTGCTGTGACCACTTCCCTGGGGAGCCTGTTTCAGTGCCCAGCCACCTCTGGGTGAAGAGCCTTTCTCTAATGTCCAGCCCAAACCTCCCCTGCCCACCTTCAGGCCATGCCTTTGGGTCCTGTCACTGGCCAGCAGAGAAAAGAGATCAGTGTCTGCCCTTCCTCCCGTCATGAGGAAGTGGTAGACTGCACTCCACTGACTTTCATCTTCCAACACCAAGAAACATAGGCTAGTGCATAAAGGTATTAGTGCCAATGTACACAGACAAACCTCATTTTGAGAAGCAGAAGAGTGGGGCTGTTCCACAGAGAAGGCAGGCTGTGAGCCGAGGGTGACAGGCAGCAAGGCAGACAGGTGTAGTCCCCTCACAGGAGTAAGTCTCACACCAACCAATACTGAAAAGTGTGTGCAAAAGCAGTGACAAAGGTTCAGCTGACAGACCTGTGGCTGCAGTACACAGCTGTAGCAATCAGACAGGGCCAAGTCAAGCCAGGAAGTCATGCCATCAAGGCAGGGATAGCAAGGCACAGCTGTAACATAGCTCAGGGCCTAAGCCAAACTTCAGCTCCCAAGCTAATGGATGGAGACCCCAGAAAATCTTACAGCTCCTTCTTGTGTGCCTCTTGCACAACACTGAGATCTGGGATGCTACACAGGCACTTTGCCAGAGCCAGTCATCCTGGACTGAAACTCCCACAGCTGAAACCCAACCGGAGCAGAAGAGGTGGCAGAATTTCTGTGTCTGGTGCAGGATATGGACAGTCACTACATAGAAATTATAAGCTGGAAGTGAAAAACAGCTCTTTTCAGGTGGAGAAGTGGAGCTGTTTTCATCATGTGACACTTCTTTTAAATTCTAGATGTAGTTTTATCATTTTGTTTCAACAAATGTCGTAGTTGTTCTTTGTCAGTTTTCTTGTATAAAATGTTTGAAATGTTCTACACATTCTCTAAATTAAGTGACAAAAATTTACTACATTTTTGTACTGTTGATCTGTTTTGAATTTTCTTTCTTCTATGTTGTTTCCCAAATAAAAATATACATCCACTCCAGTCTGTGATGCACGTTGCTCTGGTTTAAAAATGTACAGGAAAACATATTATAATACCTGCAACAGCAGAATGTAACTGACCATCTAACAGCTTCAAAATTGATAAAACCTGTTAGAATTATATTATGGGATAAGCATGTTAGAGTTCTTAAAACTAAACAAGTAAAGAAATGTGATTAATCTTTTCAGATATTTAGATCATTTTTCCCTTAAAGTGAGTGGTAAAATCCTGTTAGCTTCATTAAGAGTTAGAATCTAACCCAGAAGAATACCCCAGTTAGACAAGTCAAGCACAACGGCAGTTCTGAAGCCCCTTGTTAGCTGCTGCGTGTTGTTTGAGGTGACCAAGACATTGGATGTCCCTACTTCTGTATGGATGTATAAATACTCACAGATTTTGTGAACACAGTTCAGATCTTCTGCTTTAATCTATCTGATCATCTTAAAAAGGAAACTAGGCTTGCCTTCAAACCACACATTATACAATAGTGCTGCTGCAGGTCAGATCCCACAATTACCTGCCCTGCTTCGTGGCTCTTCTGCTGAGCCTGAGTCACAGCTAATGTCACTTAGCACATAAGTTGCCAAAACGAGAACTGTTTGAAAAGTTATCCTGAGGTCATGAAAGAGGCTTTGTCATAGAAATAGCTACATAGAGCAATTTTTCCATTTGCAACACTTGTGAGGTAACAGTAGCTGGAATAAATGAAAAAGGTTGCCAGATAGTCCTGGACTGAAGGAATGTACTGTGTGACCTACCAGCCACACAAAGGTCTTCAGGAAATGACTCACCACTGGGAGCAACAAAAATTCCAAGGAATGGCCAGGGTCAGGGTGCACAGCAAGATATGTTTTGTTCTCTTTATATAACTTCTTCCTTCATAAGGATTGAATGCATCAAAAATAAAATAGACTCAAAGATTGTGCCATCCCTGTGGTACACAAATAAATCTTTAAGTTGATTGAATATGACTGTTACTATCAATTTTCATAGACATCTTTCACAGAATGATAAAATGTTTCTTAGCTGGTGTTGCAAAGTCACCACTTCTATTTATACTGCAGACAGAAGATTAAAAAAATTAAACAGTCAGGTTTTCCATTTTCTCTTAGTCACCTTTGAACAAATCTTGCTCTGGGAGTGACCTGGAGAAGGCTTGGCTCAAAATAATTTTTAGCTTGTTATTTTCTCTCAGTCTGGAACACCCATGCCCACACTATTTCCAGAAATGTAGGAATTTTAATTAGGATTTTTCTTTTCTAAAATACAATTGAAATTATGTCTTTGTAACAACAACAATAAGATCTTCTTTGTTTACCTGATAATATTTTTTCAAAGATTTAATATACTATCTCATCCTCCAAAACCAGTAGAATTTTAATTTAAAGATTCATCCCCTCCTGCAGAAGCTGATATTCGCAGGCAATCATATAACCCAGGCATTAAGACAAATATCAGATGTTAAAGTTGTTTCAAATCCTTCATCTCAGTGGTGAAGCAAGGTGTCAATGAACACATTTTTACGAAAAATTAATTATAATATTTGCATTTTTCAAGCTAACACCACATGGAGCAGAACACCCAAGGACCAACAATCCCTGTATATTACTTTCTTTGAAATGTCTCTTTATTCCAGAAGGAGGAAAATTCTGTCTGAAATCTATCATGGCTGTTCTGATTATAAGGTGTGATTTTTTTACATATTAGTAAAACTACATCTGAAGTGTAAACCAATATTTACAGACCAAGTGTTACCAGAACATTAATATAAATTAAATTTTTGTTTTATTGTGAAATATACATTGCTGATAGTCAAAAAAAAAAAAAAAAAAAAAAGAAACCCACAACAAAATGAAATATTAATATGTATTTATTTTGGAGGCATAAATACACATATGATGTAATAAAGAAGCTTGTAACTGACATTGTGTTTACCAGTCTCACCAGTTTATGATGTATTCACTGTGTCAACAGTGTGTATTTGCTCAGGAAACATCAGTTCCTGTCAGCATCTGGGTATTTTACTGACAGCACAAGTGAAGTAGTAAACAGACATGTCTTGGAAATCGCTGGTCTGCTGAAATGCCAGTATCTCCTCTTTCCTAGCCAGTATTCTAACATTCAAGTTAGCTGCAGCTGAAGCTCTCATTCCTACTCAGTAAAAGCTCAGCTTATTCTCTTCTGCTTTTTATTCCTATTTCTTTCATAGCAAGGCCATTTTAGAAGCTAATGCATTTTGATTTTTACAGTGAAGGAGATGAAAGGTGCTTCTGCACAGCTCTTCCCCCCTCTTTCCCATCATATCCCTCCCAGTTCACTTCTCCTTTGGCTTGAGAAGAATTTCATACTACCTTTGCTAAATTAAACTCTCCATAGCCTTTAATTAAACTTTCAGTGCTTTTGTTAATAGCCATTCCTATTTGGGTGTAACTTAATGATAATAGCTACCTTGTAAAAATATGCTGCTTTCAAGGATGAAATGTCACCATCTAATCTTTTCTCCTTCATTTATTTTTGTCTTTTCTTTGCTGGAATATTTCTTATCAGCTTGCCTTGTCAGAAGAAACAAACTCTTTCTAATGACTAATTTTCTTCTTGTGAATATTAATGACCTGGCCCTGGAGAGAGGCTCTGCACAGAACCACATCTGTGCTTTGCTTCTCTTAGAGCTGAATAAGAAAAAAATACAGTTCAAATCTGATGAATTTTTTGCTTGAAAAAGTGCAGACATGATAAATATAGACTCAGACATGAAAGGCCTGTGAGAGTCTTAAATCCTACATCTGATACATTTAGTTATTATTTCTGAAGCCATTTTATCTCAGTCCACTTAAATTGAAGTAAATTGGATATAACTTCTTTTGCTATATCGAGAACACTTCTCTTAAAAAACCCTACAAAATGTGGAAAATTTAAAAACTGTTTCTTTGTCTCTAGTTTTCATACAAATAGCTCTGGTTCTGCTAGCTGTGAATACAAACAGCCTGCTGTGACACTTGACCTTCTGGATGATATGAATATTTGTGCTTCAGAAATTACAGTAATTCTATTATTTAGCACATCTCTTGTTAACATACAGGTAATTCTCAAGCAGCTATGTTAGATCTCCAACATTATCAAATGTTAACTGTTCTAAAAAAAATCTATTTTCTTCATTAAAATTATACAGATTTTAGAAGCCAACAATTTAGTAAAAATGCATTTAATTTATATTCCATTTTCAGAAGGAGTTGTGACAATGAAGAAAGTAGCACTCCTATTGTATTTAATAAATTTTGTATTGTGTTATGACTAATTATTCTATCAATTATGGAAATGTAATTTCATTGGGAATGGATTGTAATAAACAGTTTTTCACAATGATGAGAAATACAGTGTTTTTTAAGCTGGGATTCTTTCTGACCTACCAAAACCAAAAAATTTATAAACAATATCTTGATGAAATCCATGCCTGGGGCCTTAATAAAAGCAAATTAATGTTTGTCCAGCATATACTGAAAACTGGGTTGTACTAACATGCCTAAATACAGACCAAACAAAAACCTAAACATAGGCTAAAGGGCTCAATGTTTAATCTTCATTTTTTGGAACAATTTTAGTCATTATTACTGAAGAAATGTCTCCCAGTTGTCCTCCAAAATTCCTATGCATACTTAGCTGTCCATCTCCTTATAAAGAGTTTAATTTGTGTTTGAGGAAAGCAAAGAAAATACATGTAGCAGATGTGATCAGAGGCAGCTCAGATTTTCTGATGAAATGTTTTACTAATGCAACAAGCTGTTTGTACCCAATATGGTTCATTCTGGTAAACTTTTTAAGTCCTGATTTTCTATCAGAAAGCTCACAGCAAAATACTTCATTTCAGCTTGATTTGATTCTAACCAGAATAGTTTCTTTTTTGCCTTCTACTTTCTGGTCTTGGGGTTAGGCTACAACATTTTTAGATCATCACAGGACTGGTGGGATTCTTGGTGCATAGTGAGCACTGGCCACTGAGTTGCCTGGCCACAATACCTGAGACATTGGAAATCTCTATTTTCATCCAGTAATCCTTTTCCTTCTCAAGGGTAACATTCCACCTGGGAAGATACAGATGAATGCTAAATTTAAATTAACACTAACATTAAAATAACTTGACATTAAGCACTTCAGGTAATTTTACCAAGTCAGGAGGAAGTTCAATTTGAAGGATTTTGAAAAGCTTTGAAGTGAAATTGATGACTTTATTTAAATTTATTTTTAAATAAAATAAAGGCAATAAATAAATTTTAAGGCAATAAATATCAAAAAATTGAAATTTATTGTCTTAAACTTTTCAGAAATTTCCATCAAGTTATTTAGATTCTCCCACAGAAATTTGCTGTATTTATAGAAGGATAATCTGATCTGAAAAGTTGTCTTCCAAACTTTTTTTTCTTCCTATGGCACTTTACTGTAGAGAGCAGCACACATCATCCATTCAAGAATACAGAAATATTTGAGCAGTGGAAGTGAAAGCAGAGCTGACCATCTTCAGTAAATAACACTCATCCATTCTGCCATCCATTCCTGCAGCATAAGGTCTGCAAGGAGAAAGAGAGAGAAAATTCTTGGCAAATGCTAGGAAAGCATATGTAAAGGTTTTTAACCCTTTTGACCCTTGACTGCAGAAGGTGAGGACAACAGAAAATTAAAATTTGCACAGAATCTGGGAAACTGGGAAAATGCAATTCCTGCCTGCATTAACAAAACTCTTCCAATAGGATTAAATATTTTTCTTGCTTGAGGAACTTGGTTAAACCTTCCAAATAAAAAGCATTTCTTTATCATAAAAAGGATTACAAATCCATAAGTTATTTGATTTTTGTTGGATTTTTTTTTCCTAATTTCAGGCAAATCTTACAATTTCTGAAGAACTGGTTGAGGATTTTTCTTTTTTCTTTTTTTTTTTTTTTAACTTATGTTTTTACATTTTACACCTGATCTGTAGGGCTGAGCATCCCATCTGGACATAATGCCTACAGATAAATCATGTCTAAATTGGCCCAACAGAAAACGTAATGGAAAGTTATGCAATATAGCCACATATTCTGCCAGAAAAGCAGATTTAAACAGGCATTTTCCAAAGTGGGTGGAGTAATATATTGATGTAAAATCAGAATACACCAAGCCAGTTGAGACCTGAAAACCAGTATGAGACCTTAATTCACATGCTTTTACACTGTGTGACCCAAGTGCCAAGAAAAAAGGAAAACAACAACAATTGCAGCACAATCATTCATAATGAGCAACAATGTCTGCATTAAGTATTTAAAGTTCTAGGAAATACTTTTCCTAGCATGAGAGATAAATCAGAAATCAAGACTGTATTATTATAGCAAGTACCCACTTGCAGCACTATGACTACAATCTCATTTTGCTCAAGTATCAGTGACTGGTTTAAATTGCAAGTCTGAAAATTTTCCTGATCATTAACAGTGTCTCAAGTATATAAATTAAAAATAATCTTTTTTCCCCCTGTTTAATAAAGCCCCTCTCCTGCTGGGGGAGGAGAGGATAAAAAGAGGTTTATTGAAGTTAATTTCTTTACTGTTCCAAAGTACACAGAAACTTTCATATTAGCCTACCCAAAAGACAAATACAAATAAACAAAGCATCACTGTTACTTTAAAGATAATATATCTGTAGATCCATCAGTGCCATTTTGGGTAGTATTTCAGGGTTCTGGCATAATTTTCTTAAAGTCTTTCCAGCATATCATAGGGATTTTGATGGAGGAAAGCTTCTGGCTGGAAAGCCCCTGCTGCACTGGAGGGACCTTGGAAAAATTTGCACTTGTTTGAACTCTTTCTATTCTCTAGCCAGAGATCTAATTTAGGGTTAAAGACACACAGTGTTCGTGCCATTCAATTGTACTTGCCACCTTATTTCAGTCAAAAATTCAAAGGCTGGACTTAAACTTGCAAACTGCACAAGTTAGGAAGACTCTTGATGGAGCTAAATGGGTGCAAAGAATTGTCTATCAAGTTTTTGACTCTGGTTTGGAGCTGTTAAAGATGGGAAAGAAAAAAAAAAAGGAAAATAATTGTGTAATGTATCAAAATATGATCTTGATTTATTCAGAAAAAAGAACTGGCAGAAAATAGGGAAATTGTGTACTGGTTTCAAAATGAGAAATAACTACACATTTTCTGAAGCAAAATAAACCTAACACTCAGATATGTTTTTTATATATTCAGGAAAAGGGCCAAAAATTTTGATTAGGCATCTCATGCATTTGTCTTTGTGCAGCAAGAGAAGCAACCTCTTATGACTGTAGAGAGGAACCAGTGCCAGCAGGACCCTAAATCTCTTTGCTTTTTGCAGCTCAGGAACTGGCAGCAGTGCTCTGTTCCTGCTGTGATGTTCAAGTGACAGACAAGGACTGCCATACATCTTAACTCCTATGCTGGCCTGAAGAATTGCTTATTGCTCCCTGTAACTGCTGTTTTTTTCAAAAGTGATATTTTTCTTGTGGTTCACAGCTGCAAAGGGGCAGCATGAAGCAGGAGCAGTCTTTGCGCTAGTGGTTGTGATGTTACCTGAGCTGCAAAACTAACATTTCCTCTCACAACCTCCAAGTTCTCCAGAAGCCAAACAAATGCAGCACCCAGTCCCTCCAAGAGATTTTTCCCATTCCCAGAGCATTCAGTTACTCCAAGTTATCTTCATCCTACAGCTACCAAGCTATCTTCATCCTACAGCTACCAAGCAAGCCTAGCTAAGATTGCCTCCCACAGCCAGATACATCCCACACCTGTAGCAACTCATGCTACTAACCACCTACTGGTCTACTCCCCATATGTCTGCCCATTTCTCCAAGGAAGGCAGCTACCATCTTCCTGTTCCACATTTATGGACGTGCTCTGAATCCTACCCTAACACTGCACTTGCAAGTTGAGTTAATTAAAGGTGAACGCTTGGCACATATCAGTCTGCATACATGCCTCAATGAGTTTGAGAAACTGTCCCATGTGGAGCCACACAGAATTTGGTAGATCTGTTAACAACAGAAAACAGATGGTAATAGTGCATTCCAAAAGATCTTAAAGAAAAGCTCATGACAGAGGAACAGGATTTTAGTTGCTACAAATGCTGTCGGCTAGGATTTCGAACAAATTGTTGAAAAGCATCCTCAGATCTTCAGCCATAAACAAACCCCTTTCCAGATTAGATATCTGAAGTTCTGCTCACAGCTCTTACTGGGGCTAGGTGGGAGCATTTCTTCTCTCTGTTTTCTTGGCCAGGTTGATCTGCTGAGAGAACCTTAGATTTTTGCTTCTCCTTGCCCTTTGGCTTTTCTCCATCTTCAATTAACAGCTCGGATAGAAAGAAGCTGAATACTTTCTTACATTGTGTCTGCTTCCAGCTCTGATGTTTAGAGACACTATGGGACCTTACAAACTGGAGAGTGGGCTTAGAGGATGCTCTTTCCAAGTATTATCTGGAGGTGACTAGACCTCAAACGGGCCAGCCCTTGGTGCTGTTGCTGCTGCTTCTGAAGTTACCTCACTACTCTGGTTTGCATATGAATTGGTACAAGAGAGGACAAAGGGAATAAGCTATTAACTGAGAAGGAGATGGATTATTCATGGCTCTGACTGATTTTGGAGTGGGCTCAATGTGCTGTCAATCACTGGTGGTAAATAGCCAAAAAAATGAAAAATGAGCCTTTTTTAGGCTGTGTCAGCAGTATCAATCACAGCAGCATCCAAAAATGATGAAATAGATACAGCTCATTTCTGACTGCTGATGTTCAAGCAGGATATATTTTAAATGCACATAAAAATCAGGACATATCAACTTAAGCTCATTTGCCTACTCATGCTTGTTTCACATGCTATACAAAAATGGAGATTTTTTTTCAACATGTATCTGTTTTTTCCTCAATTATTTCTTTTCCTACTTACAAATGCCCTTTTTTTTTTTTTCCATGCTTAGGTTTAATTTTCAGTAAGAACAAAGATTTGTTATGATGTGAAACCTTGATCTGTTATGCTGGAGGTTATTATGGAGAGGTATGGCTGGGGGTATTAACTGGTTTTAACTTTGCTACAGAGCAATGCCAAATGCAGACTCCTTGTCTTCAGTATTTCAGTTCAAAAACCAAATCAAACCAAACAAAAGTAAGTATAGGAAAACCTCAGCATCTCTCAGGCATTTAAAAAAATTTCTCTCAAATTGTCTGTTTCTGAAAAACAGAAAAAGAGCCCTTATGAACTAATACGGAGGTCCACATAAGACACATAAAGTAGACAGAACAATGATGAGAGGTGTGACTTTTTGGACAGAGAATTTTCTTCAAAGGCAATCAAACCTATGCTTTTATATTATATGCAAAACCAGCATATTGGTGACAGTCTTGATTTGGATTTCTTCAGCTTACTGTTGTGTAAAAGAAACCATGAACATTTAAGGAAATGTTATTCCTTAAACAAGAAGAATAGAATAGAGAATTCAGTACAGGCAAAATGGGGACTATTCTAACACAGAGTATATGCTAAAAAATCTCCTATAATAACAGGATTTAAAATAATCCTTTAATAGGTTTGGGAGAAAGTTTCACAAAATTTAAGTTGAAATCCTTGAATTTATTTCTTTTTTTCTTTTTTTACTTAGCAACCCACAGTATCAACAAAATCTCTATGTCTGTTTTCATGCCTTTAAATTTTAGCCCTCGCTTTTAAGGTGAAAACACAATTCAAACATGTAATTCATTTCTTATAGCAATTCTTAAAACTATTCTCGTCAAACTAGTTTAGTTTAGAAATTCAAAATAGTTTAGTTGCATTTCCTTCAATGTTTCTGTCTCTCCTTCTAATAATTTTGGATTTCTTTTCTTGAATTCTGTATTATTCAGTTAGTTACTTCTTTTTAGGTCTTAGTTTGGGAATTATTTAGGCAAAATCCTACAGTCATTAATGGAAGACCTCATGCTTCAATATTATTTTTATGTCTGTTATTTAAACAGTGAGCAAGCTTCTTGCCCCTCACGGTACATAATATAATATCCGAATATACTAATTTCTACAACATTAGTACAAACATGTACCAACATACAGAATATAAATCTGTAATTAGAGTCCTGCTTCTTTTAACTTGGAGCTGTATTAATAAGCATAATATTAAACTATTATACTAAAAAAATTAAGTTCTTACAAGTCCTCCACTAATAAGAATTTTGAATCCAGTGTGGGAATTCATATCTAAGTGGATGCAAGTAATTAGATTCATATTCTAACTTCAGTTTAGCATTAAAATCCAATGAGTTTCTCTGGGAACCTTAGACCTAGGACTGAAATTGTTCACAGTGCTTGACAGATTTGTCAGCCATTAATCGTGCATGGACTGTGCCTGTGAAACTAGGTTTTCATCCTAGGCCAAAGTTTGGTCTTTTTTTACACTTTGGGAATTTGATGATAAGGATTAAAGTATTAGAAAAAATGCTGAGAGTAGCTCTTTATGTATGGCAGCTTTAGAACTAATTGACTGCCCATCTTCATTGGAGAAACCCCTCCTGAGCGCAAAGGGATGCAGCTGATGC